TGTTGACAAGATCAAGATTATAACTAGATTTAAATTGACAAAATAAAATTCACAATTAAAGTACCAAAAGAATAATAGTAAAAAAATAACAATGGTAATGTCTTGGTTATAATGTTCTACGACGTTTCTACAAGAAATTATAGTCGTTTATATCAGGTATGGTGACGGCGATGTGGGTTGCACGTCTCCTCAGAGCCGGTATATTTTTTGGAAAATTTTCCTTGTTTTTTATCGCTTTTTCTTGCATTATTCTTTCTAATATAATAACTGACTATTTGGCATCATAAAACAGTAGGCGGAGGTTATCCGTAAACTTTCAGCCAATCAGAAACTATCTGGGAACACAGGTAATATTCCCGCTCCAGAGAGCCAGGAAAACTCAGTTCATTATTACGCTTATATCAACTATACGGCTTATTTATCTATCAAAATTGATCTAATATGATATAATAAATACTATAAATAACATACAAACATGTTATATACTCTAGACTAAATAAATTAGGCCATAATATTGCCAGAGTCCACCATCAATATTCGATATAAAATTGTTACCCATCGTTTCCATGTCGTATTCTTTAGCTTTGAGTGATAGAAAACGGTATTTTGAAGAGGATAACTGTAGTAGAACATCAGTTTACTAAGAAAACCACCGAAACAAACGCGATTTACGCGAAAAAAAAAAAAAATCGAGACGGCGGGCCGGCCGGCGTTCCAGGCCAATATCTCGGAAGTAACTTATTCACTTATTTCGCTTTACTACGACGCCTTTATTACTTAATTAAGTGGAATAATATTCGCAGAAATTGTGGACAATCTTCAAGGTACTGTGAATAAAGAGGAAGATTTGAAATCCTTATACAGAGAAGCTAACAAGGAGATGAAAGAAGCAAATATGCCTCTAAGGATGTGGAATACAAATTCAAAGCAATTAAGGGAAATTATCAAAGAAGATTTCCCTGAAGCTGAAATTCCTAATTGCAACAATATGCTGGGATTGGAACACACAGGAAGATACTTTGAGTCTCAAAAGGATAAATAATAAATCATGCAGTACACTCACTAAACGTAGTTTACTGTCAGAGGTATCACAATGTTTTGATCCTCTAGGACTCGTCTCACCAATTACCATAAAGGGTAAAATGCTTATGCAAGATGCATGGAAGCTCAAAATAGGATGGGATGAGAACTTGCTTCTAGAAATGAGTCAAGCATGGGATGAAGTATCCAAGGAGTTTAAACAACTTCATCAAATTAAATTTCCCAGACAAATAGGTCAAGAGGGAAACAAGTGCACATTACATGTGTTCTGTGATGCGTCAACCAGAGGTTATGGCGCTGTAGCTTACATGAGTAATGCTGAAGGAAGTACACTAATTACTTCAAAGGCCAGGGTAGCACCCTTGAAGGTCAGAACAGTACCACAATTGGAACTGACAGCACTCTATGTAGGTACAAAATTAGCTGTCTATCTCAACAAAGTACTCGATCATCTCACTATTGAAAAAACCGTGATCTGGAGTGATAATGAGGCAGTTCTCCAGTGGTTCAGAAATAATAAGAGTAAGTTGGTCTATGTACAGAACAGAGTAGCAGAAATAAAAGAGATGCAGAGAGATTATCTCTTTTCACGTCTCTACCCAAGAGAATCCAGCTGACATGTTGTCACGTGGTGTCCCACTCAAGAAATTTGTGGATAATAAATTATGGCTCCACGGACCGAACTGGCTCTCTGATGAAAATAACTGGCCTCAGCAAAAAACTCACATTATGCCAGAAGAAACAGTCTGCTTGAACACAGCAGAAATAAGTTGTGTAAATACTGCAGCAGCCACAACAGAAATAGTCATTGATGGATCTAAATACTCATCTTTGGGTAAACTCTTAAGAGTTACAGCTCTTGTCTTTAAATTCATTAAAGGAATAAAACCTGATTATGAATGTCTTGAACCCATTAAATACTGGGCGAAACTAATACAGAAAAACGTTTTCTCTACAGAATATAAATTTCTTGAAACACAAGATAAATCCCCAAAGAAACCTGTTATGATTAATTCTTTAGGACTTTATCTCGACTCAGAAAAGATTATAAGATGTCGAGGAAGAATTCATAATTCTTCACTACCTAAAGAAGCCATACATCCAATATTGATCCCCAAGAATCATTGGCTAACAAAACTGATTGTGCAAAACGCCCACAGTAACGTGTTACATGGTGGGGTAGCTGACACACTTTGTCATATACGACAATCCTACTGGATACCTCAAGGTCGACAAAGTGTGAAAAGCAAATAAAGGACTGCATTACTTGTCGTCACTATGATATGCGAGTATGTCAGTATCCAGGTCCACCATATCCCTCTGAAAGAGTTTGTCATATCACTCCATTTGAGGTGACAGGTGTAGATTACACTGGACCAATAATTTTAACCAAAACAGTTGACAAAGTTCCCATCAAGGCGTACATCTGTTTGTTCACTTGTGCTACGACTAGAGCAGTACATCTAGAAGTAGCCACTGACATGTCTGCTGAAACTTTTATCAAATTATTCAGAAGGTTTGCAGCCAGAAGGGCATGTCCCAGACTGATGATTTCAGATAATGCAACGAACTTTGTTGCTGGTGCTGCTTATATCAGCAAGATCTTTGATCAACCAGAAGTACAACAGATGCTGAATCAACGCAGTTGTCGTTGGAGATACATTCCTCCTAAATCTCCATGGCACGGCGGATTTTATGAAAGAATGATCGGCATTGTAAAACGTTGTTTAAGGAAGACTCTTCATCGTCAGAGAATAGATTTAGAAGAATTCCGATACAGTTGTGACTGAAATAGAAAATAGAGTCAACAACAGACCTCTAACTTATGTTACCGATGATCTGGACAATTATTGACAATGATGGTCCGAGGTCCCAATGGCCACCTGGAAAAATTGTGACCATATATCCTGATGCAAATGGAATCATCAGGACAGTTGATGTTTTGAGCAAAGGTGTAGTGAATAAGAGGACAATAAATAAACTAGTGCCGTTAGAATTACACAGTGTTGAAAACAAAATTAGTGATTCTCCAGAAACTGCACAGACTAAAGCTGTTCAGAAAAGACAAGCAGCAGTGGTGGCGAGTGAGAAAATCAAATTAATGTTAAGTGATGAATAGTTCACCTGCAGCGAACCTCCGCCGCCCCCCAGTGTGGAGAAATTTTCTCGAGGAGGGGGATATCAGCCCCCTTCAGCCCTTTCAGCCTCTTCAGCCCCTTTCAGCCCTGAGGGGCCAAGCCCTCTCAGAAGGGGCGAGCGTCTTGTTTACTGCTACAGTGAGTAATTGATCACAGATGCTATGCAACGTAGTCAAGTGACCTCTGCTCCTTGCAGCGGTGTTGCAAAGTGTATTTTTATAAGAGACAGTTCACCTCTTACTTAGCAGGACAATTAAGGAAAATCCTGCTCCCACTTTATTACCATAGTAAAGATAGTGTACATTGTTGTCTATGCTTAAGACAGCAAGAAACAAACATTCTGCTTTGCTTCATCGAGGAGGTGACAAGGATGCAAGGTACTAAGTCAGCGGTTTTTTTTGTGTATTAGGGCAGTGACGGCTTGGGGCGGTATGGCATCGCCAGACTAACATTGACTCTGGGAGAGTGACACTGACGCCAGGATAACCAGCAAAGAACACTGATCTGTGCGTTAGTGTGAACAAACCACAATAAACACTTAAGAGAAGTGTGATCAGCTTCTCCAGTGATAACTTTGTGTGAACAATTATTGATGAAGAGTGTAACAACGAGTGTTGCGATCCAACAGAGTGTAGTGCGACATTCTTTAAAGAACACTATTCTTCAATCAACTCATCGGATATCCGGGCATAATTACGGGTCAGATACATATACCCAGGTAAGTGTTCTAACTCATGATGTACTACTATTGACTGCACAGTTGAGTATAAAGTCGTGAGTTAGAAACTTATCATAAACCCCGGTGATATGCGGACCATTGAGTCCAAACAAGTAAGTACATCGTCAGCCACCAGTGAATGCAATAAGCTGATATAACACCCCCTAGGGGTAATTTATATACTTACAAATTATATTTCTTGACAGCCCATGTTGAGATGCCTTCGACAGCTTTCAAGACCTCGTCTGCAGGGGCGGCTGTGTAGACGATTTGCTGTCTTTTATCAGCTAAGTGTTCACTATATTTATATTTATAAATATCTTAGCTGGTAAGGCCAATATCTTCAACAAGCATTGTCGTCGCGGCACCAAGTGTCCAAAGAACCTTACGTAGTCCCATATAGGATCACCTTCCTGCCAAAGGGCATTTTTAGTCAATTGTTCTCTTCTCAGTCTTTTCTCAGTTGTTGTTTGAGGTATCTTATTGACAAATATTTACAGTAACTAGAGAAAACACTTCGTCTTGTGCACTAAAAATGAAGGAAATCTGACGGAAAACAAACAAGCAAAAATTAATTGGATAACTGGCTCCTTGATTAAGGGAGGTTCCTTGATGCTCCCGAGGGGCTCTTGATGTAGGGACTTGGATCTGTGCTCCAGTTTAGTGCACTAAGCCTGAATGTCTTCCATTATCCCCCAGCAGGCGCTTTATAAACCCTACGGGTTTAGCGCTCCTCATGATGACACTAATTATAATGTATTAGTGCCTCAGTTTGAGAGAGAGTTTCCCAGGGGTGACACACTCACAGGAAGGTTGAAAGACACAGGTGTAATTCACGGAAATTGAGTGACGGTGCCGTGGTTAGTACGGTTTACAACTACTGCACAAGTTACAAATGAACCGTTGTTAACTCAAGACTTAATATTAGTCTAGGAAAGACAGAGATGTCTAATTTCTACTTCTAATTTAGGGGTTAGTTGTGAATTGTTTAGATATTATTGTTGATTGTATAGATTGCAATTAAGACTATTTTAATAATTGTGATAATAGTTTAATATGGCAATATAAGGGGCACATTATAGTAAGTCATATATTTATGGCAGGTCTGCATGCCAGGGAGTGGATCTCTCCAGCTGTGGCTCTTCATCTCATCCATCACATGATCACTAACACTTCAGCCACATCCTCCGTCGACGTGTTCATAGTACCCATGGCTAACCCCGATGGCTATGTCTACACCTGGATAACCGATCGTCTTTGGCGTAAGAACCGCAGGGTTAATGGTGGTGCCAGGTGTGACGGCGTCGATCTCAACCGCAACTGGGATTCCCATTTCGGCGTGGGAGCCTCTAACAACCCCTGCAGCGAGGTGTACCAAGGACCATCAGCCTTTTCCGAGCCGGAAACCAAGGCCCTGCGCGATGCTATGCTGAAGCTCAAGGATAATCTAGAACTAGTGTTGGCACTACATAGCTATGGGCAGGACTTGTTGTATCCCTGGGGCTGGTCCACTGGGGAAGAAGCGCCAGGTAAACACGACCTCATCGCCATTGGACAAGTATTCACACAAGCTGTCAAAAACGCAACAGGCACGGAGTACGCTGTAAAGAATGCCGCAGAAGGTTACTACGTAGCGTCTGGTGCAACAGATGACTGGGCAATGGAGGCGCTACACACTAAATATGTGTATACCTTGGAGTTGAGGGATCAAGGCCGTCAAGGTTTCCTGCTGGAGCCTGCTAACATCCTTGCGTGTAGTGAAGAAATATGGCAGGGAATCACGCAAGTTATCAAGAAGATTAATGCTTAACACTTTATAAGTAAGTTTAATTAGGCACAGGTACACATAAGTACAATTATCATACATAGTGTCATTTATGTAGGATAGCCCCCATCGTAAGTTTAATATCTTTGCTGAAAACCTGCTATATCATACCCATAATGCTGTGTGACCCTTAACAAGAACAATAATAATAATAATAACGCACTTAGGACATTTTATTATAGATGCGTTTTGTTGCTGAGACCTTGTTTACTCCACAAGATCCCAGGAACCAGGTCCCAGGTACCTGATCCCAGGAACAAGGTACCAGGTACCGGGAACAAGATTCCAGGAACAAGGTCCCTGGTCCCAGGAACAAGGTTCGAGGTCCCAGTTCCTAGGAGCAAGGTCTTGGGTCTCTGGAACAAGGTCCGGGGTCCCAGGAACAAGGTCCTGGATCCCTTGAATAAGGTCCCGGGTCCCTTGAACAAGGTCCCGGGTCCCTGGTACAAGGTCCCGGGTGTTAGGTAAAAGGATACAAGTACAACTAATGTGACATTTTGCTGTGGCAACGTTTCGCTCTCCAGGAGCTTTGTCAAACCGTTCTACCAGCATTAATACAAGGTCCCGGGCCCCAGGAACATTGTCCCGGATCCCAGGAACAAGGTCCTGGGTCCCAGGAACAAGGTCCCGGGTCCCAGGAGCAAGGTTCCAGTACCCAGAAACAGGGTCTCGGGTCTCAGAAATGATCCCAGGTCCCAAATGTTTCCATGGTACAATGTCCTAGATGCTTTATAGCTGTGGTAGGCGCCCCATCCCCATTAGGTCATTATCCGTACACATACAAATATTTCCTGCTTTAACAATAATCTAAAGCCAAGACAACAGTGCATAAGAGTTGCCAATAAATCTAATAGATTCTTTGTTTTATAATTGCCCTGGAAAACTTCGAGAGTAGGATGACAAAGTTGATATAGTATATCAGAAATCTTTCCTACGAGAACAGATTAAGGGCAGTGAATCTCTATTCTCTGGAAAGGCTTAAAATTAAGAAAGATATGACTGAGGTGTATAACGGGAGACAGGAAGAAAAAAAAGGGATATTATTAACGCTCTAAAAAATATCTAACCAAGACAGGACTCGCAGCAACGTATTAAATTCGAAAAAAAATGATATAAAAAGGATGTAGATAAGCACTGGTTTGATAACAGAGTTGTGAATGAGTAGAACCAACTTCCGAGTAACGTCTTTGAAGGAAAAATCTTGTGTAGTTTTAAAAATAGGTTAAAACAAGTACGTGAGTGGGTGTAAGTTGGACCTGCCTAGCTTGTGCAAATGATAATGGTATACAACACCGACAAGTTCATAAGTAAGACACATGTGCAACAGTTAGATATTTTTATTCCGAAACGTTTCGCCTACACTGTAGGTTTCTTCAGTCGAATACAGAGGACGTAGCAAAAGCAGTAAAGATGTAAAGACGATGTAATCAGTCCATCGCCTTCGTAGACATAGTTTTGAGGTGGTCAGTCCCTCAGCCTGGAGCAAGAGTTTGGCTCCATAGTTTGGAACAATGTGAAGCTGAAGCAACAGAACGGAATGCTATATACTGGCAAGGTGAGGCGCAGAAAATCTTGATGACAGAAGAGGTGGAAACTACTAGTAGAAGTAAGAATGTAATCATTGAGAGGCAGTGTAGTAAAGGTACTTGGTAGGTCCCTCTCAAATCTAACCTGACATGGACCAGTAGGATGCTGCAGTGCTACTCCTTTATGTTCTTAACTCGCGATTATTTAACTAGCATATCAGATAAACACCTTGCTTATGTAAGCATTATACAGAAAAAGTAACAATATTATTGCAACTTAATCAACTTAAAAAATCTAAAAAGTAAGAACTGCACTACTTGCAGCAAACCACTCAGGAGCCCCACGACCTGATCTGAGTAAGGAAACATTCACGACGCTGTGTACCGTTTACATCAAGCACGTATTGGAGTATTTAGCACTGAAGAAAGTGCAGAGGTTTGCAACGAGACTAGTCCCTGAGCTAAGAGGTATAACCTATGATGTCAGGTTAAGGGAACTCAACCTGATATCACTGGAGGACAGGAGGACTACCTGGAGGGTGTTCCGGGGGTCAATGCCTCCGCTGCCTGGTCTTTTACCAGGCCTCTCATGGTAACTAGTACAAATTACGGAGAGAAACTGACAGGGTAGACAGGGACAGATTGTTTGATAGACGGAAACAGCAACACGAGGGCTCAGCTGAAAGATGAATCACAGGGATATTAAGAAGCATTTCTTTAGCCTTTGAGCAGTCAAGAAGTGGAGAAAGGATTCGTACATATGTTTAAGAAGAGGTTTGATAAGGCTCTCGAAGCCAGGAGAGAGTGGACCTAGTAATGACCAACGAAGAGGTATGGCCAGGGGCTGAGATTCGACCCTTGCAACCACATACAGGTGACTACATAAAAGTGAGTACACACACACACACAGCCAGAAACTGTGAATCGACCCCTGCAGACACATAGGTGAGTATATACATACACCACACCTACATACACACGCACACACCTACACGTGCACGCATACACCTATACACACACGCACGCGCATAACTAAACATGCACGCACACCTGAACACACGTGCACACACGTATACAGAGACAGTATGTTCCAGAGATGGGACACAGAAACAAGGGTCACAATTGGAAGTTGAACACTCAGATGAGTCAAATGGATGTTAAGAAGTATTCCTTTAGTCATAGAGTTGTCAGGAAGTGAAATAGTCTGCCGAGTGACGTAGTGGAAGCAGGAACCATACATAGTTTTAAGACGAAGTATGATAAAGCTCATGGAGCAGAGAGAGAGAGGACCTAGTAGCGATTAGTGAAGAAGCGGGGCCAGGAGCTATGCCTCGACCCCTGCAATCACAAATAGGTGAGTGCACCTACCTATTCACCTACACACGTGCACACACGTACCTAAACATGCATGTTACAAAAAAAAACGCGATATCTAATAAGCATAGAGATCTCCAGTGAATACTAGAAAGGACTGCCCTTCTAGCAGCCAGCCTGTTACTGGGTTTTTTTGTAACAAGTAGTCAGTATCCTGGTCCAGTTATCCATTAGAATTTAGTAAGATTCAATAGTGCTTCAGGATTACAACTGGTAGGCTACTAACTAAAGAAATTAAAATTTAATAAACCATACCACGGGCGGAATTTGAACGCGCGGTCAGAGAGTCTCAAAAGTCCAGACCATTTATTAATAACAATGAAGTTGTCTAGGCGTATAATATCAAAGTAAATTAATCAAAATAATCACTACTCTCGTATATAGTAGTATTGTGCTGAAGGCACATATCACATTTTTATGGCTTTTAAGTACCGTCTTGTACATTGTTAACATTTAATAACATAATACAAATATATACAAGTATGTGTGTGTATGTGTGTAAGTGCTCTAAGTAGTTCGCTATGTCTCAAGAATCGACTAGACTTAACCAGTGACTGACTAAAAGTCCTCACATAAACTAACTTCTTGACCAACCTGGCAATCAGAACAGCTTGCTTGAACAATAAAACGACTGATAAGCCGAACAGCAATATAACAAGCAATAGCGACACGGAATCAGGAACAAGGAGATAATATAACGACACTAAGTAGCGACCATCTGAAGATCCTCCACAAAAGTCACAAAACTCCCATACTACTGAATCTAAGTTCAGCATTAGAAAATCCCCGACTGTGACAGTGCACAGATACCAGTACAAATTAGGTCAGAAGCTACAGCTCAGGACCTGAGTTTCTCAGAGTGTCTATTTGACACACATCGTCGAAAATCCCTAAGTCTAGGCTATGTTCTGTGAACAGTTACACAGAACCAACAACAAAAAAGCGACAGAGACGATCTTCCAACAAGGGACCACAAGGGAGAGCTAGAGAGGCACGTCTTGTGAGAAGCAACATCAAACAGACAAGAGCTAGTGCAGGCCAGGCTGACTCTCCCTCCAGGTGAGGTGTGATCACCCCACCCTGATCACGTGACTCTCGGTGGACTGCTGCTGCCCAGCAACACAGAAGCCCCCCCCCCCAACAAGCAGAGCAAAAATTACAGTAGTTAGACAATGCTGTCAGCTACTTAACACTCGAACTATGAGCACTGAATAATATATAAATGTTACATCCTACCTAATAATATAACTAAGTCAAATAATAATATAAAGCAATATATTTACGATTTAACTAATATCGCAAATATAAGCAATATAAAATTATATGAGCAGGTAATATACATTATATACATTGTCACCCATTCAGGGGTCGCAATAATGCACACATACCTACACTTGCACACACACCTACCTACACATGCACACACACCTACCTATACACATACACATGCACACACACCTACCTACACACCTACACACGCACATACCTACACACCTACACACCCAGTAGCGGCCAATTAAGAGGCGAGGTCAGGAACTCTGAATCGACCCCTACAACCACAACTAGGTGAGTACACACCTACCTACACATCTACACACGCACACATACCTACCTACACACACACAAACACACCTACCTACACACTTACACATGCATACACACCTTTATACGCGCACACACACCTACCCATGCACACCTAAACACGCTCGTACACCTACACACAGGCACACGCACCTACACACACACATAGTGAGGTAGTGGAGACAGGTACCATACAATGCTTTAAGAAGAGGTATGATAAACCTCATGGAGCAGGGAGAGAGTGGCCTAGTAGTAATCACTGAAGAGGCGGGGCCAGGAGCTGTGAATCGACCCCTGCAGCCACAATTAGGTGAGTACACACCTACACACACACACACACCGACTCTCACGCTTGCACATACACACACACACGCTGAGTATAGACTAGGTGGCCAAGAACTGCAAACCTCGCTCCAAGGAGAAAGATCCTGGGGTGACCATTACACCGACCATGTCTCCGGAGGCACACATCAACCAGATAACTGCTGCAGCATACGGGCGCCTGGCAAACCTGAGAATAGAGTTCGATACCTTAGTAAGGATTCGTTCAAGACATTGTACACCGTGTACATCAGGCCCATACTGGAGTATGCAGCACCGGTTTGAAACCCACACCTGGTCAAACACGTCAAGAAATTAGAGAAAGTGCAAAGGTTTGCAACAAGGCTAGTTCCAGAGCTCAGGGGTATGTCCTACGAAGAAAGGTTAAGGGAAAGCGCACTGACGACATTGGAGGACAGGTGGGTCAGGGGAGACATGATAACGACATAAAAATGCTGCGTGGAATAGATAAGGTAGACAGAGACAGGCTGTTCCAGAGAGGGGACACAGACACAAGGGGTCACAATTGGAAGCTGAAGACTCAGACGAGTCAGAGGGATGTTAGGAAGTATTTCTTCAATCATAGAGTCGTCAGGAAGCGGAATAGCCTAACAAGTGATGTAGTGGAGGCAGGAACCATACATAGCTTTAAGACGAGGTATGAGAAAGCTCTGGAAGGAGAGAGAGAGAGAGAGGACCTAGTAGCGATCAGTGAAGAGGCGGGGCCAGGAGCTGAGTCTCGACCTCTGCAACCACAATTAGGTAAATTAGGTAAGTACACACACACACACACACAAACACACACACACACACCTACCACAGTATGCCACCAGGTCTCCCACCCTCACAGGCCCCCCAAACCACAGTGTTGGAAAGGAAACTGAAGGTATGGTACACAAACGCTGATGGAATAACAAATAAGTGGGAGGAGTGGCATGAAAGAGTCAAAGAAGCATCACCGGACATCATAGCTCTCACAGAAACCAAGCTTACAGGTATGATAACAGATGCCATCTTTCCAACGGGATACCA